TGTGTCCCCAGCAGGTGAGAGCCCAGATTCTTACTTTCATGACCTTTCTGCCTTCCCTCAGCTCTTTTATGAAGACACCTGACTCCCATGATACTTCTTGTCAAGGCAAAAAAGATAGAACTGGGTGATGACTGAAAATAGCTAACCCGCCTGAGAGTGATAAAAGCATCTGTTGAAAATCTGGTAACCAGATCTCCTTGGTACCAGAAAAAACACACACACACACACAAACTGGTGGGTGGTGTGCATGGTACAAAGAAAGGGAGTCCCTGAGTGTCAGCATCTGGCAAAGCCACGTGTAGCATAATCTGATTAGTTTTCAGTTCCACACCCACAAGCTGAAAGATAAAAACACACACCCCTCCTCCCCGAAGGAGGTAAAAATCTTTAAGCATCAACACCACATTTACATTCTGCAAGTCAGCCTCTTCCATGGCCCGATTTACATCTTGACTTCTCCAGCGGAGTGGTGGAAGTTCAGTGTTGAGAGATGAGCTCACGTCCCTTTCCAGTTACCACATCCAGCAGACTCCAGATTGCTTTGCTTTGATCTGGGAGACATTCCTTCGTTTAGTTTAAACTGAAATGATTAAGCTGGAGATGAAGCCTTCTCACATCTCCTGCCATGCCTGGGATGTGATAATTGAATAGTCACTTCTATGGGCCATTTTAACATGTTCTGAGGCTGTCCTGGACCGGCGAGCTGAAGCAGCAGCACAGACACCAGGTGGCTGGCTGCAGTTTGCGCTGACCTTACTGCACTTTCTCAGTACTATTTTCTGGTTTGATTCTTGTAAAATGGCCACAGCTGGTACTGGGGTGGATTAATGGCAATGCTTTATGTCTCCAGAAACTAATACTCAGGTTGGTGTTTGACTTGAAATAGCTGAGTAGCAGAGACCAGGATATTGCTTGTCATTTTAGAGCAAATAATGGATTTCTAATATCTAACATGTTTTGTGCTGTGACCACAGACAAATCAGAACAGCTTGTAAAGCTTCTGTCTATTCATTCTTGATTTTTCCCTTTCCATCTCCTTGCCTGTGACCTGATCAATACCAATGGCTGCTGGGTCCCATCCTTATTCAATGACTCATGGGACAGCCTCAACCTTTTGACTACACTTCACATCCAAGACTCCCTGTGTCTGTAACCATTTTGTCCCTCTCCAAGCCCAATTAATTCCACAACGTCATCTTTGTAACAGAGCAGTCGGCACTAAATGCGGTGTTGTAGGGATTGGGATAGCTACAGCAGTATTTTATTCTATTCTTTATGTAGCTTTTATATTGCTTTTTAATGTACTCACTGCTGCAGCAGATCACAGATTCTCCCTGAGCTATCCACACTTGCTACCCTAATCTTTTTTCCTGAAATAAAATTATGCCTCATGATGGAGACCAAGGATACAGCTTTTCTTAGCACACTCCCCTGGGATCAGGAATTTCTCTGTCAACGGACACATATATCAATGAGAGATGAAAAGCAGCTTGTGGAATGAGTTTTAAACATGTATCACATATTTCATTGCTGCTGCTTATGTGCTACTCAGAAGGTGTTTTTAGAGAGTTTTCAGCCCATACCTCATGGCTGCTTTGTACTTAATAGGATTTTTTTTTTCTTTTTCTGCACAGGAACCAGGGCAAGAGATTTATTTAAGTTGCCCACACTTTTTTGTGAGTACCTCCTGAATATGAAGGTTTTGTTGAGTTTCCTGCTTATTTTCAATGTAAGCACGTCTTAGCTTATATGAAAGCATAGTAACCCATAACGTGCAAAGCTGTAATGTAATCTCATCTCACTGGGACGTTTCGCTGGGGGAGTGTGCCTCCTTCTGTGGATCTCTTTGTCACAACATGACTCCGTGTTACAACCCTAAATTTTGAATGTCCAGAAGGGGAAGGCAAGTCTGCCTTTGGCCCCTTGCTGGTTTCTGGGGACTTGCAGTTCCATTGATGCCTGGGGTCTTCCAGATGTGCATATAGATCTCTTTTCCCCACATTTTTATTTGGGGGGGGAGAAAGCAACACCCAAACCCACACATCTCCAGATCGTTTAAATTCAACCAGATGTGGGAATCTTTCTTCTTTTTTCTTTTTTGTGACCTCTTTTTTTTTCTTTTCTTTTTTTCCTTCTTTTTTTCCACCTGCCTATGCTGAAGTGCACTGCTACCATGCTGAATTTGGACTTTCTGTGATAGACTTAGTTCATTATAATAATAATACACATAATTAAATGCAAGCTATTTTCTAGCAGAGGTATGTTGAGGCAGACAAAGCGTGATGAAAAGAAAGCTGGGGGTTATCGTGCACAGATTAGTACAGGAGTGGTGACCTATATAACAAGTGTTCACTGAGTTATCTGAAGTCAGTAAAAATAGCTTGTGCATTGGTTTGGTGGTGATTCTTTAGCAAAAAGGGCACTGTCTGAACATAGCACAGGATTTTTGTACCAAAACTGAGATAAAATTCACTCTGGGGGTAGCTTCATTCCTAGATAAAGTCAGCCCTGGTGTGTGAGGCCAGAGATATGCTAATCATGTTTGCCTTATTTTGAGCCCTCCTGGTTTTGCCAAAATATGATTAGGAATTAGTAAAGGAGAAAAGGGAAGGGGAAGGAGATGTCTTAAAAAAGCAAAATGGAAAACACAAGTGGCAAAGGGAAAAGCAAATACATAAAATTGTGGAGGAAAAGAAAATGGAGAAGGAGGAATCCCAAAGGTGTACTGACTGTGCGCATTTGTGAAAGTTGTTTCTTCAGATTTAGCAGCACCCAGCTTGTACAAGTTGTAATTTAAATAGATTGAAAAGATAATGCTAAAGACAACCAAGTTAGATTTTATCCTGTTAATTAAGATGCCTTTACAGAGTTGTTAAAGCCTACCAAAAATCGTTCCTGATTTAAAGTGATTGATACCTCCTGTGGAGAGGGGTGGCTACCCATGAGAGCTGTAACATAGAGCAGCAAATTCTCCCTGAGGAGAAAGCTTCCGCCTACCCCGTGCTTTTAGACTGAGTCATCCTGGGGGAGAAAAATCATACTTCAAAGTGCAAAATAATGGGTCAGCTAATTAATTTTTTTAAATTGCCAGAGAAGTTTCTCCAAAATTAAATTCCATCCAGTTTCTTCTCATCTCACGACCTGAATCCTTCACTTGTCTATCTAGAACCGTGATTTCTCTGAATCTAGTTTGGATTTAGCTGTTTAGTACTGACAACACTTTGCCTATATATCCTGTAGGTGCCAAGGTCCCAGTTAGATGATGTGAACCCGTGTACTTCTGTGCTGTGGCGAGAGGTACCATAAAAAGACATTTTTTTAAAAAGTGGTGGTCTGGTAGTTCAGTCTTAAGATTCAGGTTCAATTCAGGCCTCATTTATGCTTTAAAAATAAATGAACCAGTGCCAGAAATTATTCTCTGGCCCTAAGACCTATGGGACAATCTGACCATGTCTTGCAAAGCTAAACTCTCATAGCCTCCAGACAGATGGCTGTGTTCACACTGCTGAGTGACAGTGTGGATTATCTCAAGCCTCTGGGGATCATCAGTAAGGGTTCAAGTCCAAACCCTACCAGGGACCCTTCTTATTATTAAAAGCATAAAAATATCCTACCCAGTTATTGCTTGTGGCTGTACCCTCAGCACTGCTTACAGGGACGGGGGCAGATGTGATTCTGGGTTGCCATCAGGGGTTTGTGCCCCCGTTTCAGCTTTGCCAGAGGCTTTTTGTGTGACCTTGGTTGGTAACTTAGGGTAAGATTCATTCCTTTTAATGTTGACTAATGGTGAGGGTGTCTAATTAAACTAGTCATGTGTGCTCCCTCTCTGATCAGAGAAGGAAGAGAAAGCAAATTCAGAAGGTGAATCATCCCATTTTAAGACTGGTTTCAGAGACAAATGGGATTAATTGCCCTCTGGAAGTAGCTATTTCTTTCCATTAACTGTAGAGGAAGTCTACATTAGAAGAGTTTAGACTAGATGCCTGATTTATGAATGGCTAAAGTTAAGTATAATTAGTCCTCACCTTAATCTCTATGCATGCCTGTTTCTCCGTATGTTGAATTATAGAAATAACACCTTCTGTGCCTCACATTCAAAGGTGCCGTTGGGCCAGAAGCATTCTCTAACTACTTTGGAAGGAAATTAAAGCCAGGAGCAAAAATACAACAGTTAGAGAGAAAAGCCTTTACTCTTGAAACATCTCAGTGATGATATGAGCAGTACCACTTGGGACATCCTGTTGTTTTTGCCATTTTTCCCCTTTACATGTTGGCAACGGAGCACCCACAACCAAGTGTTCCCAGCGTGGCCACAAGGCATGCGGGCAGTTAGCCTGTTTTGCGAGAGAGAAGTAGGAGCACTGAGGAAGGTTGCCCATGCAAGGGAGTGCAGGGCCCAGTCTTGGCCAGCAGTTTTGAAGGTTTTCCTTGCAATACTGCTGTTCTCAAATGACTATATATTCTTCAGAAAATCTCCCAGAGGAATGAAAGCTAATGACTAACTGTGACAGAGTTAAAGAAAAGGAAAAAAAAGGGGAGAACAAAAGCTTGCGTTTTCATAGCAAAAAATCCACAATATATAAACCAAGCATGGAATAACTGTCCCAGCTGATAACTTGTATTTACTTACGAGGCGTGCTTTTGGAAAAAAAAGGTTTGCCCCTTTAACTACCTAGTGTAGTTAAAGCAGCAAAAGAAAAAGAAAGAAGACAAAAAAGATCTTGTGTGGGTGTCCTGATAAGTGCTTATTCTGATCCAGATTGCAACATGTTGCACATCTTTATGGGCACAGTTGCGGTCGATAAGGTTTTCACCAGCACAAGCATGTCCCAACACAATTCCCCCACTGATGTCACTGTGTTATCGGGGGTAGCTGAGATACCTGTAAGTCCATTAAATCTAATAACAGGTCCTTAGAGGCCACTTTGGGGTTTTTTGGGGTGTGTTAAATTACTAAATCTTGTTATTAACGCTTTTATTTTATGATTTGCTATTTCCAGGGCACAGACAGAAGCTTGATGACTCTAAACCTAGTTTGTTCTCTGAACGCCTCAGTGATTTAGGGCGCATTCCTCATCCCAGTATGAGAGTAGGGGTCCCGACCCAGAGCCCACGGCCCTCTCTGAACTCTGCACCAAGTCCTTTTAATCCACAAGGACAGAGTCAGATTACAGGTAAGAGACAGAACCATAGGTTTGACTTGCTCAGGCAACAGTAGTAATTGCTTATGGATATTTGTGTCTCAACTGTAGTAAAAGAGGCTGTTACAGAGTGAGAAATGTGTTCCAAGAAAAGCTAGGTGGGAAGTGGATTTTTGCTATAGTGTTTGGAGCTGAAAACGTCTTTCTTTCTTTAAAATACATTTTTGCCATAAATCCAAACAATCAAAAGTCGCCAATCTGGGTAAATTGAGTAGGAATCTGGTGAAATGCTAACTGCCACGTTGCTCTGTCTTCTACTCCGTGTGTGCAGTAGTACGTATTGGCGTGTAATAGAATGAAGATTTTTATTTTGCACTCATGTTGAGGGAAGCAGCCAGCATTTAACGGCCCTTCTATTGGAATAATAACACAATCTTCTTACATGGCAGTTTCCTTCTAGCACCAGTGCTGACCACTGTTACAACAAATGAACTGGGTTATGGAGAAATCCTCAAAGGTTGCTTGTGAGGGTTGTATGCAACATTTATGATTGCATGCTGAGAGACAGATTTCATTGTGCTGAGAGGAATCATAAAGTACCATGTGTCACAGATTATAAGACTGAAATAAGATGTTTAACTGCGACTATGCCAGAAGTTTGCAACAAAACTGTGAAGCCTACAAAATAAACCAATTCTGTTATTTTTTTCTAAACTTGGAACTGGATAAATTTTTCAAAAGAGTTTCAAAACACTCTCTACCTAATTTTGGCCGTTTCTACAGTCAGAATTTGTGCTGATATATTTGTGTCTATCCAGGATGTGAAGAGGAGTTGCCCGTGACCAAGTCACTTGCTAGAACTGTTGGAGAACTTCACCTAGATGCCAGTCTGTCAATAAAACCCTTGGCTCAATTTACGAGACCCATTTAAAACCCAGTTTTGCTGCTGTAGTTGCATCTACGCCAGGAGTCCTTTGCCAATACCAGTATTCCTTCACTGGTAAAGCACTCCTGGTATAGACATAGTCTTTGAGTCAACCCAAGAAGATTTCTGGTTTCATGTTTCAAGTGGTTTTGACATGATACCAGCTGAAACTTAGTGGTTTTAACAAAGTCTTGTGGCTTTCTTCTTCTTTCTTTTTCTTCTTTTTTTAAAGTTCAACTGGTTTATTAATTTGCAGTAAGAAAGAGAAGTAGGTGGGTTAATTTGAACCCAAAGCACTCAGAGAATTGAAATGAAAAAATTGTTCCCATGAGCTGCGGCAAAGTTCTCCCAGATCTAGAAGTCTACCTTTAGCCAGTGTAAAATATTCGTAATACATTAAATATTTTAATACATTAATACATTTTGTAAGACATTAAATATGGGTCTGTAGTACCCATTACATGCTACCTGCTGCCCACCAGCTTCCCAGAGCAGGTTTTTTGGTTGGGCTTAGTGTTCTGTTCATGGGACATATGAAGTCAGGGCTCTTGTGCCTGACCCATTTTCTGGGTAAGAACTGCCAGACTAAATCCCAGTATTTTTTCTAACCTATTGTCTTCTATCTGGTGGTGTTTGTTGACACAGTTCCTGAGAAAGCAGGGGGAAAATCCAGGGATATAATCAGCTTTTTTTTCCCTTCTTCCTTGTGCCTCCATAGTTTACCTATTGTGCAACACAATATCTAGGAATGAAGGAGGGTGAAATTCTTTCTGACCTCATCTGGTGATCAGTTTATGCCCTGAAGCACGAGAACTGAGATCCCCTTGTAATTTTCTCCCTCGCTAAGTGTAACCTCATATGCTGCTCTCATTCACATAAATGCCTCCTGTAGAAAATGTTCTGCTGGGTTTGATTAATAGAGTACTTCTCTGCCTCATTATGAATCAGCAGCAGCATTTACAGATGCAGGAGGTGAAAACTTCAGATGAGTTTTAAATAAGCCTGGCTGAAAACAAAGCTGTGTGGCATTTTGTGTCTTCTCTTCAAACTTAAGAGGTCAAAGTGCCAGCTGAGACTTCATCAAGACGGGGAAGATGCGGTGCTGGTGGAGCAGAGGGAAGGGAGCTGAAACAAGGAAGGCGGGCTGACTTTTCTATCTATTGTGGATTATGTGCTTTTCTTGCTGGATAAACTCATGGTCATGGGGTACTTTAGAGTCCCAAATTACTTTCATTTCCCCAAAACTGTGAGGACTTGGCTTCTTACTAAAGTTTGCAGTGCAGAAGTGGTCTAAAACAGTATTTGCCATGTTATTCCCCACCCATGTCTCCTCCTCAATTTAGAACAGGCAGACACCCAGCCCTAAAAGGCTACTTGTTAGGTTTATGGTAGCCCTCCCATTTAATAATGTGATTAGTGTGAGCATGTTACATCGGGGTGAATTGTGCTGGCTTCCCCACAAGGCTTTTTGGTGCTCTTCAGGATGTTGATTGTAATCTGTAAAGCTCTACATGCTTTGATGTTCCACCAAAGTGCTGGGTTGCTTTTTGTGGACAGTGCCTCCAAGTTCTTCTGGGGTGAATGGATGCTCATTGCCACACAAACCATGCCAACAAGAGACAAAGTTGATGCCACAGGCGAGACACCTCTTTGTTCGGGTGTTAAGTGACCATGAAGAACTGCTAAACATCCGCCTGGTGTGATGGTAGGGAGTAAGCTATTTGGGCTGTCCACCTCCACCAGTTTCCTTGTGGGGAAATATTCAGTGGGAATACCACTGCCTTCTTAACATGGTCACTGGGCTGGTGTGGCTTGGGTATGTACTAAAGGGAGAATAGATCCTTGTCTGAAAAACAAGACTTTTTTATTACCTTTATTGGAATTAAGCAAGCATTCCTTTGGAAATACCTTTGTTTCTGAATCTTTTTACCTAGTAATTTAGGGAAAATAATTAATTCCTAATAACTTTAACAGTAAATACTGGTTTCCTATGACATATTGTTGCTAGTAAGCACATAAACTGTTTTTGTTTCGTTCCACTTGAGGTCTTGCATAGCTATTGCATGATTAAACAGAAATAATATTTAAAGCCTGGCTGGCCCGCACCTGAATCTGAAAGAACTCAGCACTTTGGGGGTCACGCTTATATTTCTTTTCTCTGTCTAGGTTGTGTTTATTTTCCTGGAGTATCAGAGTGCAGGTTGTACAAATCACAGCAAGTCACAGGACTGGGCTGTGGCAGTATAAGGCACAGAGTTGCCCTTATTCAACATGGCATTTTAACTAGGATTCTGCAAAAGCAACATCGAAGGGTGATTAAAAAACAAATCGTCCAATAAGCAGATGCCTTTGCTGAGGCAATGCAGATTCAATTTGAACCCTGCTTGCTGCCCATAAATCAGGAATCCTGTCTGTTCACATTTGGATACTGGTATATTTGCTTTTTCTATTTTTTTTCTCCTTTCCCTAACGGCACTCGCACAACTTGCTCCTGTATCCGATTACATTCCCGTTCAGACACTGAGCTGTTGCATCGGTGTTGCAGTATGAGGCAAGGAAAACTGTTGTTTTTCTAAAATGCAGCCGCTGAGGGTTAGCTTCTATCAGCCAGGAAAAGCCTCGGCATGAAGACCCAATGGCTGGGCTGTGGGGACTATGAAGTGGGAGTTAAGTGAGGTTTCATGCTCCATCACCACTGTGGCACCGTCTGATCTATAAGCAACCTGTGACTTTCATCACTGAAATAACAGCACTCAAAAGCAGGTCCCATTAAATGTTGGGGTCTTTTTCCTTTTCATCTTTCCCTCTCCATCGCTTCTGGGATGTTATGCTCATCGTTTTTAGGGTTATAGGAAGCAGATTTAAAGGCTTCAGAGCTGGGTTACCTGGAAGTTAGTGAGGGGACCCATCTGTCCTCCAATGCCATGAACTGCAGGACAGGTTTGAAACAGAACTGTGTAGCTGTTACTAGACTGGTACTCTGCAAGTGCTTTGCCAGAGGTTGGCTGTGTTTTACCTGAGACCAGCAGCACTCTGAGCACACACTGGTTTGTAGCTGCTGCACATCCAGCTAAGAGCGCATCAGAAAAAGGACATGGTTGCTTGGAACAGATAATCAGAATTAGCCCAAGTAATAAGCTTATAGGGTAAATCATGCCTTCAGCTCACAGTAACGTGGAATAAAAGCTACAAGGCTCATCAAATGAAGTGGTGAAGTTGGGATTTCTGCTGCCATGAACGCAAGGGTGGCTGCAGTCTCCAGTATTTTATGCAAATTGATTGCATCCTTCAGGCAACTGACAAGTTGCCATTGTGAACCTCCATTTGGTAAAGCATGTGTCTCTCCTATTAAAATATTCTTTTTATTTTAGTTTTTACCCATCCTTTACAATTTAGTTGCCCTATTGGCATCACTTGTTCAGTTGTTAGGTTTTTTTTATCTTTCAGAAATGTGACTCTTGGAGGGGTGGGAGGAGAAACGGTTGTAGAGGTTCTTCAGGCCAAAATCTGGTCTCAGTTACACTTCTGTACATTGGCATGTAGCTCCATTGGATTTGTCTTTATGAATTGAACTGAGCAATTCATATCAAGCCCTAGGTTTAATCTGAATCTGGTCTCAATTATGCTTCTGTACATTGGGGTGTATCTCCATTGGATTTGTCTTCATGGATTGAACTGGGCAATTCAGATCAAGCCCTGGCTTTTAAAGATGCGTAAGAAATAGTCAAAGGAGAAAGCAGCATTTTGTTGTTGTTGTTTTGCTGGGGGTTGGGAGATGCTACAGCAATAGTTGGGTGCTCCTGCAGAAAGCCATTGCGGCTTTGTTAACATCGGAAGTGAGGATACTTGCTTCAAGTGTTTACCAAAGATAGCTCCAGACAGCTTGTTTCTCAGTATTGGCAGGAACGCTTATACAAGCAGCAGGAGGAGCCAGTACTAGAGCTGATGGCTGCATTTAAATGAGAGTGGTTTTGCAAAGTGCGTGCATGCATGTGACGTTGGGGTGTTACAGCTGAGGAGCTGTGAGCCTGTGATCATGCTCTGATCTTCCCACAGCTTGGGAAATGGGAAATTGATTTATTTTCTTACAGTAAATCTGTTTGCTTCGTAATCCAATGCCAAAGTAGTGGAAAAACTCATTCTTCAGGGCTGTTTATGGATTTTTTTTCTTCTCTTCATTGACACTCAGAACATTTCCATTGAAGGAAGGAACGTTGCTGTAGAGCCAATGTCACTGGGGGGAGAACTGGTCACTGGGGCTTTTTCCGTTTTTCTTTTCTTTTGTTTTTAGTTTCATACAGTGCATCCAATCTTAGACTGATTTTTAAAACCACTCGTCTGCTGCACATTGATGCATTGATGGCCCAGAGCACAAGAGTCAAACCATGTATATCTCCCACTGACAATAAATATGGCAGTAACACCTAGACACAGAATTGTAATACTATTTCCTGCCTCAGCAAGTATTACCTGGAAGGTGAAACAGGACTGAACTGTGTGCATTTAGACCTCACCTCTCTGTCTTGTTTCAGCCGAGCTGTGCGCAGGCTCTCTCAGCATACACATGATATGCCCTGTTGTGAACAAATATGCTGAAAGCTGCACTTTTCTTCACACCCACACAGGCATAACAGAAATGTTTACAAAAGGAGGACTGCTCTTAGGAATTGCTCCAAAAGTTTCAAGTACAAATGCCAACTCAAAGTGGCCCTCTGTCTCCTTTTGCTGTTGTTGAATGCTCTGTTAGCCCTTACCCATGGCTGCCATATGGGAAGATGGGGCGTTTTCTCCCAGGTTGTTTGATGTAGTTTTATATTATTATTTTCCCTTGTTTTGAAGGGATTCCTTTAGGGAGGAATACACATTTGCTGTGCCTCAGAGCTTTAAGGTTTCTCATCTGTCCTGGGCTGTTCACAATTAGGAAGATGTGCTGTGCCTGCAGAGCACGTAGTGCAGGGACCCAGCGGACATGCACAAGCCCGCCAGCTAGAGTGAATGGGGATGCTGGTGTCTTGTGTAGGAGGCCAAGGAAAACCTCTCACAGGTCTGTTCATAGGTTCTCACCTGCTGGTACATGTTAAATAGTCACTCCACCCCTTCCGTGCCCGAGTGAGGAGGAGGTGACCCTCCTAAGGGTATTGTTGTGTTTCCTTCAGAAGTGTCTGTACAGATCTGCCCTGGAAGTGCTGTTCTGGCATTTGGCACCTCCCTGTGGTGCTCCCAGCACCTTCCTTCTTCCCAGGAGGTTTGGTTTGGTGACATGCGGGGCTCGAAGTGATGGGCTGGTTGGGCCTCAGCAGCCAAAGTCTCTGCTCCAGCAGCATCGCAAGCAACATCTGTTGGTGGACTAAGGGTTGCCACATGAGGCTCAGCTGCATGTCCACCTTCAGGGGCTAGACAGAGCAGCTTTGGACTCTGCCTCAAGCCATTTTACTCTGGGGATTGGGCAATGCCACTGAGCAGTGATGTTTACCCTGTGGGCTAGTGATCACCTTTGGCTTGGCAAGGTGAGCGCATTACACTGCTCTCTTCACGTCCATGCAGACTTGGCTGCTATCAGTCAGCAGAGGCTGGCTTTAGGGCATTTACTCTAGGGTCTGGTGAAACTTGTATCTTCACTTTCTGGTTTCCTAACGGGCCAAAGATGACTCTTGAAGCCAATCAGCCCCAGGGCAAAATTCCCCACCCTGCTTCTACCATGACCTCAGCCATGCCTTGGTGTGGTGGAATCACAGTAACCCTCCAGCCTGAGGTGGTGTGACCTTTCCTCAGTCACTGAGTTCTGCTGCGTCATCTGATGTTTGATTTGGGTGAGGATTTTCCTCTATAATATTTCCTATTCCTTGAAAAGACATGATCTCATTTCCCTGGAGCTAAGTTGCTTACAGTCTGGTTTCAGAGGGGCTGAAGTTGGCACCTGAATATCCGGGTTGAAAGCTTCCAGCCAAGAGAAGCACCCCATTTTGTGAGTGAGGTGCTCAGAGAGTCCCTGCACCTTAAAAAAAATCACCAATTAAATACACAATATATAATTATTGTCCTTAAATTTAGGTAGAAATTGTGTGACAAGGAGGTTGCGTGAGTTATCCAGGTCCAATAGGAGATCTGCTTTGGGGCCAGAAACAGTTAAGACACAGGACAATGTCTTCACTAGCAAGTCCATTCTCTTTTTCTCTCTTTCTCTGAAATACTTTGCAGTTTAAAATCTCACAGTATTAGACTCATGGAGAACTGAAATCAAATACATACATCTGATAAAGAAATGTGGTGTTGGGGCTGTGAGGTTGGAATGAGCTATAGAAGCCGTGTATAAGTTTAAGCTAGATGTTGTAAGAATATAGGGTATGTTTTGGGGTCAACTGATTGTCCATCCAGCCCCATATTCTGCCTCTGACACCATGCTAAGAGATACTGTTTTGAAAGACCACGCAAGCCTTTGAAAGACCACTTTTGGTCATTTGTCCTTCTTGTGTCCACACAGGCATTCACAGTTGCTGGATTAAGGATGTTACGTGTAAAAACCAGTCTAGCATAGCTATTCAAAGTGGTGAGGGTGCCATAGACACTCAAGATCTTGCCATGAGGATTGTGCTACTAGAAGTGGCGTGAACCTCCAGAAGGCAGTTTTCACCACCTTAGACCAAAATCCTGTAAAAACATCCTCTGTTGAGACTTTTTTCCCCCCTAGCCTTTACCTGATACATAATTTCCTTCCAGCATTGGAGCTGACCTAAAACCAAAACTTTAAGGGACTCTGTTTTGGATTCAGAAGGAGAGATTGAAAAGCTCTTGCAGTTTGAAGGAGCTTGGATTTGAGATTGTGCTCCTGACACATCATTAATTTTAAGATTGTTTTCCCAGCAAGCCTAGGCTTTCCGTTCCCAGTTGAAGGTCATTTACCATTGACTGCATGGTGAATTATAGTAGTGGAATGAGGCAGGGAAACATGTCGATATCAGATATAACAACGAGCAGTCAGTCAGATTTGAACCTGTGCCAATCTATACAACCCTAGCCTTGAAATTGTTAAAACAAAAAAGTTCATTACATTTAATGATCAAGTGTCCTTCAGATTTCTGAGGAGTTTATGTTAACCATTTATATTACTCAGCTCCAATATAAATGGCAAACTCCAGGAAAATCCTCTTAAAATTAAATTGGAAAGTTGAAGGTTTTTATATATCTATATAGCTATTTTGCTTCAAGGAAGTATCTGCTTTCCAGACATCTCTTCAAACAAATCATGTCTGAACAGAAAAAATAAACAAGGAATAGCTGAAACTACAAGGTTTTGCTGTGTGGAAAAGCAGGGAAAGGAGTTAAAAAAAAGAAAAAATTAAGTTGAATTTCCTGAGAAAGTGCCTTTGCTTATGCCATGTGGCTATCACATTGCTGTCTACAAAGCAGGGCCTTAGCACAGTGCTTTGGTGTAACAGGTTTTCCAAATTGAGTGGACCTGATACGCTTCACTGAAAATATTGGGGAGGATTTGAAGGGATGTGCTACAATTTCTATGAGCTGCTTCAGAGATAGTTTTCTGTTTATCATGCAGTACCCAAAACAAACTTTGGGGTTGAAAGTGCTTTGATTTTATCAATGTAAAGAAATAAAAATAATAATTTATGAGGCATTCAGTGGTATCTTTATCAGCAGGTATTAACTGAGAGCAAACGGTTTATAAGTCCAAACACCAGTGAGTAAAACTAGGTCTCTCTCTCTCTCACTTAGTGCAACCCATCAGTGCTTCAGTAAAAAATAAACTGCATTTATCCTTAAAATAATTTCCTCCATAGTGAGCCGTAGCAAGTACATCAAAAGGCATCATTAGCTTCCGATAGTTTTCCCAAACCATTTGGTTTCATATTGTTGTAATTGAGGTGACTGTAGGTAATCGGGCCAACATCCAAATGTGACATTTTTGGATGGATGCTGATAAGATGAATGGCATTTGCCTTCTTGGGTAGTATTTTCAGCACTAAAAACACTACTGTGTAATGTTTGAACTGGGTAACAACTTGGCAGGCATGCCAAGTGCTGACTGTAGAGTCTCCTTACCTCTGAAGTCCACTTCCTAAGCTCTCAGAGCTGAGTCTCATTCTTGCTATCTGCTTACTGGTCTAAATCCGCAAGGACTGGAGAGTCTTGGTATAACACACTGGTAGACATAGATGAGAGACACCAGGAATTTGCAGCACAGCTCCTAGAGCTTTTAAAACTCTGCTCACTGCTCTGTTCACTTCCCAAAATAATTGTTATGGGCAGGGAAGAGCACAGAGCAAGGCTGGAAGGATTGAGTTCTAGAGGAGCAGGTTGTGTTTCGTTACATTCTCATTCCTTACAGCACCATATAGCACTGTGTGTATGTTCAGTAATCCCACCTCTGTCAGTTAGGCTGTCGATGCCCTATTTTTTTTTCCCTAATTTAAAAAAATAATTCTCATTTTTTAAAGTTTTTAAATTTTATTTTTTTATTTCCTAGACCCCAGGCAGGCGCAGTCATCCCCGCCATGGTCCTATGACCAGTCTTACCCATCCTACTTGAGCCAGATGACTTCACCATCCATTCATTCCACAACTCCCCTGTCCTCCACTCGAGGCACAGGACTTCCAGCCATTACCGATGTGCCCAGACGCCTCTCAGGTAAAGACCGTGTTTTGCCTAGAACAATTATGCAAACAAGAACAGGACTGGCACAGGTTGCCTTCATGGCCTCAGACAAACCTTAATAAGAAGAGCACAGCTGAGTTGGTGATAACAGGGTTACTGCATGGTGGGTGGGGGTCAGAATCCCTTTATTTTCCGAAGTGAAACAGCTGCTGTGTTGCTCTGAGCGTGTATCATTTGAATGCCTCTAGGTCCATTCCAGATCAAACTATTTTTAAGTTGTGAACCTGATTCTATGAACAGATTCTCTCTTCCCCCCCTCCCCTCCCCCAAGGATATTTACTTGATTGTTTTAAAGTAGTTGTGATATTCTCTATTTTTTGGTGCTTTATATTTGTGATTTGTGTGATGTTATGCATCCTGACAGAGAGATGCCTTTATGTCAGTAGTTAAGACTAAGGTGCGTTCTACTGCATTTCAATCCAGTAGCTCAAGAAAGCCTGTTTCCTTAGTTAATGTGTACTTAAGATGCCTATCAGAAACTAGCTGAGTCACTTAAGGGTAGATATTGGACAAATTGTGCTTTGGAATGATGCAGGAGAGAGGAAATACATTTAGTAACATAGACAAGACAGCAGTGAGAACTGAGACTTTTTTTTTTAACCAAACCAATGTACATTTACATACTGTGCAATTCATCTCTAATGGTCTCAATGATAAAACCATCTGTGTGAAGTAATCTGATTGCCCCAGAGTAAGATAGAGTCTGTCATGGCACACAGTCACCTTGTATATCGTGCCAAAAATGAGGAACCTTAGGGGAGGGAGGCTCAGTATTAAAGCTCCAACCTTGCAAGTGTGGAAATATTAGCAGCGTATGCCAAAAAAGCATGTGTAATGTAAAGAAAGCCTTTATGATTCATTAATGAAAACCAAAGAATCAGTCTTATTACATCTATTTTTGCATGTTTGCAAGATATTATTATAATCTTGGATGCTGCTGCCATACACCTGTTTGACTCGCAGCCAGGTGAATTTCTTGTTTTCCCATTCCACCAAACTCATAGCGCTGCAAATGTTGATCCCTCTGCTGAGCTGCATCACTGACAAGCTGAATTTCAGCCAGCAGGCCTGGAGGATTTGATTAGTGTAGACTCCTAGATTTCTTTCATCTTGGAGGAGGGAAGCTTTGTTTCTCAAACAAACAGCTGGAAAAACCTCTGCAGTCCTAGCACACCCTGCCTTCTCAGATGCCAAACCTCGGTTTGGCATCTCCATGTGGGCAGAGGGCTGGAGGTTGGTGGAGCAGGTTCCTGCTGTCTCTCTGTGCAATATGCTGACTTGGTTCAAAAAACTCGATCGGCTTGATGCTGAGGAAATGCTTTGTTTGGCCTGAAACAGGTTCCCTTTGCGTCGGAGCCTCCTGATGGTCTGTGTTGTCGAATGGTTATTTTTGCAATTGTGCCTGCAGCAATACCTGCAGGAGAGGCTCGGCTGGGACCTCAGCAGATGTACCACAGCATGCTTGCCCTGCAGCCCTTGCTTGTCTGTGTATTCAGACGTGAGTGCCTGGCATGTGGGCACAGGCAGAATGACTAAAAGACCTGGCTGTGTACATTATGTGGCCGAGGAGTGAACTTTTCTGCTGTACTGAAAAGTCGGTTGCCTTTATGCTTCTTGCCCTTCATCTTCTGGGGGCTTGACTGAAGCCTCTGCAGTGCTCTTACCTTTTCTCAGCATGGGGGTCTTGCTTCCAGTTAGATTCAAGATTGAACAAGGGGACTTTGATCTTCCGTAAGTGCCAGAGTTTGTCTGCAGTGTTTGCTGATGTTCAGAAATGCAGAGCAGTGTTCTTGGAAGGAGGACGAGTGCTGATGCTCAGGTTGCAAGGAGGCAAGTTGCAGCCCCAGCTGCAAGCCCTGTGGGTCCTCTCAAGGGTTTCTACCTAGCAATCCCACAGGGAGGGAGGGCAGGATCCAACCTCCTTTGTGTATAAAGTAGAGAGAGAAATGCAGGTTTAAAGCTGCCCCTTACAGCAACCAGTTTATCCCTCACATAGGTAGAAATGCAAATCTCTGCTCAGTTACTTGATACATCTTTCAGGGGAGAACAAAGCTTTGATGAGGGGTGGAAATTACTGTTAAGAAACACTGAAATGTTAGAAAACTTTGGGCACCTTCACTGCATGAGGGAAAAATTAAGAGTTTTACAAGGCCCCGAATAAAAACAAGCTATGCTTTCCAATACAGTGGCAGAAATCTGATTATCAAGGCTGTTAAAAGTATACAAGGTAATTTTAATGAATGCCATATTTACTGCCTGTTGCTTAACATCATGCAGGAGGAAAAATGGGTAAAACTACCCCTTAGGTCTTGAATGTCACACCTAGAGGCACAGGACTTCCTACCTGCCACAATTTCACATCACACAGATTTCCACGGGCCTCAATGGCTCTACATAGACAACTGCTTAAGTTGTGCTCACCCAGATGTTGAAATGTACCATCTAATAAAGTCTTCTGTCCTTCAAAAGAGTGGTTCCTGGTTGTATTGTTAGTGGCAGCCCTTAAGAGCTATTTTTGATGGTACTCCCATGACCGGAAGCAGACCCATCCCACGTTTTTCCTCCCTGTCCTGGGATGGGTACATCTCTTGGTGGAAAGGTTGCTTGTGTTTCAATCCCAGATAAGGCTGAGCATCAGAAGAGGTTTGGGCTGTAGGACAGGAGGTGGCAGGGGACTGACATAGCAGTTCTCTGTCCCATGGGAGAGGGGAAAAAGGCAGCAGGCTGCAACCCTGAGGAGTTATTCGGGCAGGCTAGTGTAATGTGGCTGAACTGGTTGTGTCAGTGTCTAGACTGATTCCTTTGCACAACCGAAATGTTTGCATGCATGCTGCAGGCACGTGCAAATGAGTGCCATGGCTGTCAAACTTCCAAGTATTCATCTTTTATTCTCCAAATGGGGATCAGTGCTGTATCTGCAGTGTCATACAACTAATTAATAAATAATAAATAAATAAATAAATAATAAAAAAGATTATCTGGCATCACTCATGGAACTTTTGAACCAATGATCTCTCTGGTGCATAAGTCTCATGTTCATATCAAGAATAAATAAAAACTAAGCTCACAAGACCATGCAGTTGAGTTGCCTTATTGCACCAACTCAGTCATAAAAAGAGCAGGATTCCCCATATTTTATTAAAATATCTGTCTGCTCAGACTTCCCCAGAAGACAGTGAAAGTTGGTGGCCTAGCAGGTTAATATTCTTAATTAAATAATATTGTAGTGGAAACCATGGGAATATAAGACCATGGTCATTTTAAAGAGAGTTTGCCTGGGGGACATAGTCTTATTGCATGATTCACAGTGAATGCGCTCAGTCTTTGTGTCCTATGCATAACCAAAGTTCATGTGGGATGGGGAGCATGAGTGTCTATTATGTAATTAATGTATATGATTCATATAAATACACATCACATTTTTACATAAAGCTTTGGGACTGATCCAGCAAGTCCTCAGAGCATGCAAGGTTTAGAGCAGGGAGTACAGTTCGGGTTGTTCCTGCAGTCACAAGAGGGGTGTTCTGCAGCAGGTGAAGGAGGTATAGATGTCCCCAGAGTAGACATCCATACCAGAGACAGTCACCCTCAGGTCCCTTTTGAGTCAATGGGGACAAACTCACATTTGCAGGACATGACCAGTCTGCAGGTGAGCTGGACTGGTCCCTGGCAGTTCCTTGGAAGAGCCTGTTTGTCTCCACAAGCTCTAAAGCAAGCCTAGGTGAGTAGTTCAGGTACAGGCACGTATCATCTGATAGTCTGCCTTTAGTAAGGTGATTTAAGAGATGAATTAGCTGTCCCATAAACATATCCATATCATTGCCTTTCTACACGTCAGTCCTGATTTAACCCTGCTGTGGTCTGCCTCACCCTGACCTCTCTCTGCTCTATGATTGCAGGATTTGAGCTTGAATTTGATTTTATTGAGAATTCTGAGAAGGGAGGTGGGAGGACAACTTCTTCCCCTACACTTCCTGGACCTCCTCACCGTTCTGCCTAAACGCTAGTCACTTGTTTTTGTTTCACCTTCGAGAGACTCTTGCGAGGTCAAGGTCTTAAGATGCTGGCATACCTGCTCTGCAAGTGTAACATGAACATGTTCAGTGCTGGCTGTGGAGGAGCCTGTCCTACACAACTGTGTTTGACAAATGCTTTATGACAAAGGAGAAAAATAAAACTGAATCTAAATAGTAGGACAAATCACCAAACCTACTTTTCAAGCCCCGGGCTTGCACTCTTTGCAGATAGTTGTCATTTGGGGATGCTGGCATCATGCCACCATGGCCAAAATCTCCTGTCCCACACGCTGGAGTCCCCTCAGAGTGCAGATTGGATTTTGCTGTCTTTGTATTTACTGTGTCATTGAATAGGGAAATGCTGAAATAGATGAGAGACACGCTGAGCTCAGCCTCTGAACAAAAGAAGTCTGCAAACCCAACCCTCTGAACTAAAGTGGCCAGCAAGTAGTACCTTCACCGATAAATTACACAGTGGAAGGGGCTGGGCTGTTAAATACAGGTACCGTTAAATTGTCAGCGAGGTTGGTTTTGAGTGGGATTGGCCAGCATGGTTACAAACAGGTCCCATCTGTGGTTTGGGAATGTGCAAAGCCCCAAACCTGTTCCCATGGACATGGACAGCTTGGAGGCAACCATCCTGTTGTGGAGGCTTACAGAATTTAATACTATAGCTGTGGCCAGACCATCCTGGTTGGATGTAAAGCCAAAGAATGGGCCCTGACCCTGGGCTGTTTGCTAGTTTGAGAGTAGCCAGACTTTCCCATTAATTCATCTCACTCTGCACATATCACCACATCTTTTTGGACCATCCTGGACCTTCATCAGATACTGAATTTAAGAAACATTCCTGTTCTCCCAGTTCACTGAGGGCTGGCAACTATAAATGCAACCCTGTGAATACCAGCCATGCCCTAATCAATGACAATACTGTTCCTTTACACAATTCAGTTTACA